AAATAAACATAATACTTCATTAAGATGGAACCATTTATGGCATATAAAATAGAGCTCACTTCATTGCCAAAACTAACTTATGATCATTTAGATATTTAGTTTTGTCAGTGCATGTGAGAAATTTTTCATTCGTTTCATTTATTTCTGTTTTTATGGGTTATACTAAGCAATGGAAAAAAATGTATTTCAATAATAAGAATAAAAAAAATGATTCCATGTCAATTAAATAATAACAACGAAATTATCTAATAATTGCGGTTAATGAGCTACAAAGACTTAAATAAACACGAAAGTTAAACAAACACAATATTTTTTTTTAGAAATCTGGTTTGTCGTACAAAAGTGTAAAAAATAAATAATCAGAATGCAAGTATGGCGGAAAAATCAATTAAGTGTTTTAACATTCATTTATTTATGCAAAAACAAAAGGGTGGGACGTAAAAATAAAACGCTTGAAATTTTGCTTAAATATGTGCGTAGAAAAAATTGATTATAAAATTCACTGGGATTTCGAGCATAAAAAAAGAAATAATTGCTTATTTCCTCAAGATACTTCAATAATTATGTTACAATAAAAAAAATATATATTTATCGTCTTTTTTTAATCTTTGAGTTTTTCAACATTGCTCGGCAAAGTTAAAATTTTCCAAAATATTTATTAGTTATAAATTGGAAATAACCATTTAGACTACGTAATTGCTTAACTGGAATTAATTAATTAATTCCCTAGTTTTAGGTATTTTTTGGAGTAGAAATATTTGGGATATTCACAAAGGTATCGTAAGTGTCGTATTGTTGTATGACGTATTAAGGGGGTTCGCAAAGTACCATCAAAGTCATATTATGAATTTTCGCAGTGTTAGTTCAGTAAACAATTATTTAAGCTTTTAAAGTTTACGATATACAACAATACGACACCGTTGTGAATCCCTCAATTGAAAATGGCTCTCAAAATGGATTTAAAAATTATAATGTGGGATAAAAAGAAGGTATAATTAAAACAAAGGAACAAAAAATTTGAATTTTGGGAGAATTATTTTGTATATTCTCCCAAAATATTTTTTGTTCCTTTGTTTTAATTATACCTTCTTTTTATCCCACATTATAATTTTTAAATCCAACCGGAAATTTTTGAATAAAATAAAAAATAAAATTACTACTAGGGTGTTCGATTATTCGCTTTTTTCCAAAAACCGGTCTCCGAGTTTTTCGAAAAATTGCAATTTAAAAAAGTCGGTTTCCGATTTTGAAATTAAGATAAGAAAAAGACCAAATAAACAGATTTTATTTTACATAGTTTTCATACAGTAGAGATAAGCATTCCGTTGGTATAGTCATGACAAAAAATTCAAATAAATCAATTAACAGATGATTTTTTTTTAGATCAAAAGTAAAACATAATCAAATCAGTGAAAAATTTACGTTTGGTCTTGTTTTAACTTTTTTTTTAATACTTTACTATATATATATTTTCTGACTCTTTTTCGGATTTGAGCAGTGCTCTTGCCGCCGTAGCCGAGTGCTTAGATGAGCCTACTACCACTCGGGAAGTCCATGGTTAAATTTCTAATCCCAGCAGCAGCAACAAGAGTTTTTTCAAACAGCGGTCGACCCTCGGCAGACAATAGCAAACCACCTTCTGCCATAAGAAGGCTCTTCGGAGGTAAAGTAAAAGTATAGATCTCTCCATTTGTAGCACAACATCAATAAGCTAAACTTTATTGGATGGAGGAGAAGCTCGGAACTTTGGAATCAAATATGATATACTTTTCATCCCCAAATATCCTAGGTTGTTATTATTTTAAAAATTAAAAAACCTTGAAAACTTCGAAAAACTCAACCATTTTATTGAGAGGTCAAGATTTGTATGAAATTAAAAAACAAACGGTTTATTCGATAAAAAATCCAGTTAATTCGATATTCGAAAAATTAAGATTTTTGAAAAACGCCGAATACAGATTAAAAAAAAAAAAGTTGGAAACTGCCTTGGAAAAACCGAGTTAATCACCCTAATAACTACGATAAAAATCAATTGCCAACGTACTACATATGAGGCCTTCAGAGACAAAGTAGCCTAAATGATATTTCAAAAAAATTTTGGCACACGTGTAAATTTTATTGTTTATCAAAAACAACTGTAATATTAGCAAAAAGTTTGTTTTGCAATTCCTTAAAATAAAATGTGGAGTTAAATCGATACATGCCACTAAATGCAAAAATCGGAATATTACCATTTTCCGGTTGAAAATTCCGCCAATGATAGTAGCCCTTAAACGTCATAATAAATTACTAAATGATTGGAGTAAAATTCAAAGGCCAATAACCTTACCGGCTTCCAAGGACATGTGAGCGGCATATTACTATATTTCAATACATTTCTAATCAACATGTGCACCAAACTTTTCTGATCCAGTAAGCTGCTAAGCAAACTGCAAGCGTTCATATTGAAAGTGACGATGGGGAGAAATTTTTTTTGCGCCTTTCGTCGATATGAAATAGCAACTTTCATCCAAATGTCCACCGGCGTTGTTTTTATTAGATTCATACCCATATTCAAAGCCGTACGATCGATGGTCACGTTGCCGTAATAGTTGTCAATATATTCTGGATTGTAATTTGTTTCAACGCTCCGGAAAAGAAATAGTTTTGCAGGCTATGGATATAAAACCGGGAATTATATTTGTTGCAAAATTTCTATAATATTTTTTAAATGCACCTTACGTGCGCTGCTCCTTGGCAGTTTCAATAGTAGTAAAACTATCAGCATTGTTAATAGAGTTTTAAGCCGCAAAAGCATTGAACTTTTTATTACTTTACACGATTGCATGTGAAAGGCAAATACAAAAATTTTTCAAAAGGCCATTGTTGGATAATTTCGGTAAATGTCATCGTTTGCAGCTCATTAACTGTAATTATTTATCAATTTGATTGTTAATGTTTTACTAGTGTGGTTTAAATTTGTGTTTGCTTTATTGTTTCCTAGCACAATGGGACCATAGACAGGGAGATTTACAAAATGTGACCTTTAGACGAAAACGCATTAACGATATCGAACAATCGTCTTCCATTCACTTTCGAACAAAAACTGTTGCCTTTCCCCAGCAAAATTTTATGGAACAAACTTACATACTTGCAAAGTGCTGTAGAATTTTTATACCCGAGCGCACTTGTGCACAAGGGTATTATAACTTTGTTCACATAACGGTTGTTTGTAATAGGCAAAACGAATCGAGATAGATATAGACAAATATATACATAAATGATCAGAATGAAAAGAGAAATCGATTAAGCGGTGACTGTCTGTCCGTCCGTCCGTCTGTGCACACGATAACTCGAGTAAAAATTGAGATATCTTAACGAAACTTGGTACGTGAACTTCTTTTGGGCGTAGGATGGTATTGAAAATGGGCGAAATCGGACAATAACCACGCCTACCTCCCATATAACGGTAATTTTAAGAAATACGAAAACTGCGATATTTTAGTAACTACTGAAGATAATTCACTCAAAATTGATACTTACAATGAGTTTCAGACGGAAAACATGAATATTATAAATTTTTGGAAAATGGGCGTAGCCATTATGGCTTATGGTTACATGTGTGTATCTTGGTAACCGCTGCACCAATTTCTTCCAAACTTGGCACAGTTGTTGGCCTTAGTACAGCATACTAAATGGCTAAAAGTTTTAAAAATCGGACAATAACCACGCCTACCTCCCATATAACGGTAATTTTCAGAAAAACGAAAACTGCGATATTTTAGTAACTACTGAAGATAATTCACTCAAAATTGATATTTGCAATGAGTTTTAGACGAAAAATAAGAATAATACAAAATTTTGGCAAATGGGCGTAGCCACGCCCACTTATTGTGTATATCTTGGTAACCGCAACACCAATTTCTTCCAAACTTGGCACAGTTGTTGGTCCTGGTACAGCATACCAAATGGCCGAAAATTTCTAAAATCGGACAATAACCACGCCCACATCCCATATAACGGTAATTTCGAGAAATACAAAATCTTCGATAAATCAGTAAATATTGAAGCTAATTTATTCAAAAATGATGGTTGCAACAATTCTTTACCAAGAAATACGTTTATTGTAAAATTTTGGAAAATGGGTGTGGCACCGCCCACTTATGATCACATATATGTATGTATCTCGGTAACCGTTCTACCAATTTGTACCAAACTCGGTATGGTTATTGTGCTTGCCCTATAGAAGCAAAACGTTGAAAATTATTGGAATCAGATTCAAATTACGACCACTTTTCATATAACGGTAAATTTCAGAAATGCTTGAAATTTCAATATTTCGAAAGTTAAGGACGCTAATTTACTTAAAATGTATACACCCCGGCTTATCATGTAGCGGTAGGTTTCGGAAAGGAGGAAAACATATATTTAATACTTGCGCCGGGTATTTAATGTTTGGCTCCGCCCGAACTTAGACTTTCTTACTTGTTCAGTTTTCAATTAGAGTTATGCACTTGACATATGTAAATAGTACATACATTAGACTGTTGTAAAAAAAACGAATGCTTTTTTCTTTCGACCCCATATGAAAATTTCTTTGTCGGCCACAAAAAAAATATTTGTGGCAAAATTTCAGCCTTCTATCTTCATTTTTTAGTTAGCGCTGGCAAAAATAAAAATTTTATGTACAAAAATTGTTTTTCGCTATTTATTTTAATAAAAAATTATATATAACAAAAAAACTAAAAACAACCTTGTAGCCCATTCAATTCTAGTAACAACCCTTAATACGTGCAATTCCTTCATTAATGCAAGTCTCTAAAACAAAACATTGTAACCTTTATAAGTGCAACTTCAAAACAATTTTACCTCAATACCTACAACTTTCTTTGCCACGCACACAAAATTTGAACTTTTTGCATTTCTTTGATTAACCAGTATTCTGGAAAAACTATAAAGTTGTGTTTCAATTAAAGTTATGTGTGATGAGCAGGACCGAAGAAAATCTTGCCTTGAAGAGGATGAGACAGTGGAACAGTTCTTGTGCTTCTGCCCTGCCTTTACAAGAATTAGGTGTTGAGAGACGAACATCTGAGGTAAATAGAAAAAAACCTACATTCAACAAAAAATTATCCAATTATCGTCTAGCATTTTTTCCATTTAAAATCTGCTTGCGATATACCCGATACGAGGCAATTAAAAATCAATTAGCTCAGCACATTTTTTACTTTTGATACTCTAAATGGAAATTTGGTTCCAAAATCGGCATTAATGTACTAAGCATATAGTAGATTTGAACTTTTACGAATAAAGTTATTGTGGCGTGGAATAATATTTACTATGAGTAAGAAACGCTAGCTGTACAATGAATTTAAGCCAGCGGATAAATTTTCAATTATTATTAGTAGCATTCCTTTGCTACTTAAACTGCAGCAAGGTGGTAGCGAGACCCGTAAGTATTCTACTAAATGCATTTAACCTCTAATATTTTCATCAATTTTATCTAATTCGAATCATAGAAAGAGCGCTTTCTTTACTATCGCAATGTCAGCTACAACTACAATCCGAATCATGTGGCAAGCTTAAATATTACTACCATCAATAGTTCACAAGGCGTTCTTATACATTTTACACCAGCACACAATATTACCAAGAATATTTGGTTGGATTTGGCAGTGTTAATGAAACCGCTGAATGCTGACAAATTTCAACCTGTCTTAAATTTCAATTTGAATGGCTGCGCTTTGCTGAGACGCTCCTCTGGCCCAAATGGATTTGACATAGCCAAGAGATGGGCGAATAATTTCTTGAATTCGGGTAGTGTGCCAATATCCTGTCCGGTATTGAAGGTGAGTTGGAAATCTAGTTGATTGGGTGTGGGTGGCGATAAAGTGACATTTATTTACTATTTACAGAATAACTATACGTGGAGCATATACCCGACAAAGAAAAATGGCGTACCCATCTTACAGTTAGAGGGATTCTATCGGCTGATAGCGAATTTATATTTTAAGCGTTCGAAGAGAATTGAAAGTTTTGTAAATACAAGCACTACATCGGAACTTATGTATAAATAACTGACAGAAATTTGATTTATATATATATATAATTTTTATAAAACGAGTGAAGGAACTGAAGTATATGCACAAGGACTCAAATTATGTAATTGATTTTGATTTACTATAAAGTAGTAGTTTGTAACCACAGACTTAAAAGTAAAGTTCACTACTATTGAATATTAATAATGGTGAATGAAGGTTTATATTTCAGTGAATGATAAAAATATTGCTGACTAGCCACGGTCCACCCACAGTTAAGCCCTTTTTGATTATCAAGTTATGATTGAATGACGCTTTGGAATATTCTCTGGTGATTGGGATTCTCTGAAGCAACTATAGCCATTTGAAATATACCCGCTGTTTCCGAGCTTTTAGAGGTGCGTAATACCATACCTTACGACCAAGGTTGTTTCTAAACAGCGGTCGCCCCTCGGCAGGCAATTTCGGATGAACTACTGGGGTGTGACTCTGCACTAAATGTGTGGCGCGTCCTTAAGCTAATCAAAACCAGAAATTCAGAAGATTCGATATTACCAGACAGATCTAAAATATTTACGGTCCACCTAAATCTGGGTTCTGCTAGAAACGGACAAGGAAAAGAATTGGACGAGACGGTTGAACACATTCAGTGCGATAGTTCGGTCCTTGTAACAGTGAGGCTAAAGACTCTATTAAAAAAATGTTCCTTTTTTAAGCTGGCTTTTAGAGACTCTTAAAGATTTTCTCTGGATTTTTCGAGATCACTAAAACTATTTCGGGACCTTTCGAGTTTTACTTTTAGGTATTTTACGGGAGCTTTTTGAAATTATTTCGGGACTCTTGAGAACTTTTTGGGGATACTAAATGAATTTCGAATTCTGAATGAACTCAGAATGAATTTCAAGTGTGTCAATAAAAATTATAAAATTGGATTGGACATTTGGAAGTATTTTCAACTTTTAAAATGAAAAAAAAAAAATTGTCAAATTAAAAAAAAAATTACTTAATAGCTGCGACACACTTAAAACTTCGCAGACATGCCAAAGTTATTAAAAAAACAGTTATGATTTTTTCGAGTGACAATGAAAAAATTAGTAATTTCCGTACTTCTTCGCCTAAGTAAAGGTTTAAAGTCTAAAATTGTTCAAATACTTGATTTATTTTTTATTGTACTTGTTTCTGAAACTCCATTGATTGAAATAAATGCAAGAAGAATGTTTTAGCTTTTTTGTTTGCCGAGAGAAGTGTAACTAAAAAACAACTCGTGAGATTTCCTCATATCTGGGTTCGTATGGAATAGTTGCTTATAGCTGGCTTTAGTATAATGCGGCATTCCCTTTATTCTTTAAACGACAAGGAAAATTGTGATGAGACTTAATAAGATTATTGACTTGCTAGTATCGGAACTATTTCTTGCAAGTATATTTGCCAAAAATTCTTCAACGGCTCGGCGCCAGTGAGTCATTCGCAAACGTATGCTGCGAATGCCACATTATACTTAGCCAGCCTTTCGTCATAAGCTACTATTCCATACGACCACATATGTATGTACATATATATGTATACTTTTAATATTCTTAAAATTGTTTTACGTTGGATGCAGTAGAGAAATGGATTTACGAGTTAAAAAAATTTTACTAAAACCCATAACAACGAAAATTGAGTAGCATTAAGTGAAAGGACACGAAATTTTAAACCAAAAATTAAAAAAATAAAAATAAAACGAACTTACAGGACGAATATCACAAAAATGGCACGAATTGACAAGGAAAAGCTTAAGTCAAAGTCAAAATCAAAGCCAAGATAGGCAGACAGTAGGCGAAAAGGGATTGTGGGTGATTGAAAATAAAGGCTAGGACAATTCGGCCTAGCTCAATTGAACGAAAAAACATAGAAGCGAGTGAAAAACTGCAAAGTAGAGGAAAAGGTGCTGTCCAAATAGCGTAAAAAAGACACCGCAAATAGCGCCGCAACATTTTTGTAGGCATTGCAGCCACAGGCGCTCATTCGGCATGCAGGACAGCGTGTCTATGTTTACATTGCGGATAGAGCGTTTACTCCACTCGTCGTAGTCGTACGGCAAAACAATTGCCTATGTAATGTCGAAGCTTGAAACAAGTTTGTAATGTGGAATTGTGACAAAAAAGTGCATAGTAGAATAACAACAAAATACATACAGAAGTACATATTGTCGTTTAAAGTACAAAACCTCGTAACTGACATTTGTGCCCAAAAAGATATTTTCTCACAGGAAGCTCCTGACATCAAGCCCTTATCCATTTATACTAAAAAATCGATTCTTAGACATAAGAAGAAGAGATAATTAGGGATAAAAGAGAGAAAAGTTTTGAAATAGGACTAGCTTTATTCTCACCTACAAAATCTTGGCAACCTCACATACCAGGTTTTGCATTTTCTTCATACGAGGTTTTGTGCTTTAAACGACGATATACGTACGTACAGCGTTTAGTTATATTTTCGCATGGCAAAAGCATTTTACTGTACCGTTTTTCCGCTTTTCCGCTACACAGACAAGCGATTACTTAATTTCGTTTGGTCAAGTAGGCGAACAAATGCGATTTAGCCAACCGATAGACACTCTAAAAATAGTTCAGCTGTACGAAAAATGGAATGGAATATGTAAGCTTTGGAGTTGGTGGCATGGGTTATGAGATGAGGTAGGCCACAAAAGCAACAATAATAGCGGCAGTTGCAACTAGGTAAGTGTAAATATACGACCAAATATACGATGCATGTGAGGTGAAACTTGCTAGTGTACAGGGTGTTTGAAATATTGATTGCTATTATTTGTTTCCTACCAAAGTTTGAACGACATCTCAACTACGTAATGATTTTATTCTAAAAATCATCTTAGTATGAGGGATAAGTGGGAATTGACCCACTTTTCATGCCGTGACATCCCGTTGCTCTCACATACTTCCTCTACTTAGGCCAGTTCAGTTTCATGCTCTATTTGATGGCTCTGTCACGGTACAGACAAAGCAGGAGCATGGAATTTTCACAAACCTAGCTAGCTCTCTCGGTACCTGAGGATAAAAGCACTTTTCTCGGTGTGCAATGCATACCGCCAGGAACTGAAGAAGCACAATTTTCTAAGAAAAAATCTGTTCCTATCGATTGGCTAAGAAACCTCTGAGGGAAATCAACATTGTGTCCCTCTAATCCTATAAATGTCCTTGACCAGAAGGAATTTCCACCGCTGTATCAAACTCAGGATGTAAGCCACGAACGCTTCATCATAGATTTATTTTGATCAAGGAATTAAAATGCGTTTGAAAGAGAACTTCTTCAGCAGTTTCTGATATTTTTTCCTAAAAGATTCGTGGTAACATTCAATATGAAGTAAAGTATCCCGGCCGGAAATCTCTATTTGGTTGGTTGGTTTAAGTGGATTTTCATCCTGGTGACAAGCAATTAGCAAGTCTGTCAAATTGATTCCACAACTCGTGCAATCTACAGCCATTCGGCGGCTTTGATGAATTTCAGTACGCCATACAGAGAGAGGAAGCTGAACTCTGAAATATTCTGCAAGAATGGTTTGCCGAGTGTCTTCAGCATCATCCTTGCGAGAACTGGACACTCGCACAGGAAGTGTTCGACTGTCTCTTTCGCGCCCGGGTCATTGCAACTCCGACAGAGCTTATTGAAGGGCGGTCCTATCTTCTCGGCATATACCCCAACTGGCCAGTACCCTGTGCACACTGCAGTAAATTTGTACGCATCTCCTTTGCTCATTCCTATGATATCTTTGGTTTTAAGTGGGTCGTAGGACACACAGTCATCCACTAGTTGAGACATAACAGAGGTGGAAGAGAGTGCCTATCCGAGAAAATATTCACCTGCGTTCTCGCGGGTAAATTATCTTTGATGTACCTTACTGCCTCCTTAATTGCAAACGCTTCGGCCTGGAAAACGCTAACATAATCTGGTAGTCGAAATTATAGCTCTAGATTATATTGCTCAATGAAAACCCCTACACCAACTCCGCATTCCATCTTTGACCCGTCCGTAAATATGGTTAAGCCCTACAAGAACTTGATCTTTCCTAGATTCCAGTCACTGCGGCTTGGGAAGGTCGTGCGGGGTTTGTGATGAACCAAGGTATAGTCAGTGTGCAGCCATGCCCGAACCCGCGGGGCATGCAGTCTGATGGCGCAGTTGAGTTTTCGATAAAGATATCTATGAGTAATAAGTCAAGAAGGACGTTCAAAACATCCTTCGGACAGGGTCTCATTGCACTTGTTACGCCAGACAAAACTCTGATTCCGCCTAGAGCTTGGCTAGATTTCCGTAACTTAATATGTCCTCACCCAATACATCTTATGTTTAAGTTGGCAGCGTCAGGGCAGTATCAGTCAAGCGACAGCCTTAAAATGGTAACCTTGTCGGGAACAGGATTGGTTGTTCACCTGCTTAGAGCATGGACTGGCTCCAGAATAATAATTTCCCTTTTAAGTAATCACTTTTGGTGTTGGCAAACAATTTCGTTAGAAGGGATACTTTTAGCAGTGCCTGGACTGGATGTATCCTACGAATTCCTACCTGGAATACAGATCCTATCGCAGGCAATTTAATTCTAACAGGGTTTTCTTGATACCGCCATGATAAGCTCTGGCAAGTGACATTAATAAACAGACAGGGCACTGGGTATTTTCTTCGAAGCTTAGCCCTTTTGCACTAGAGGTTATTTTGGCTGTAGCATACAAGAACTAGTCGGAGATTCTCATTTCTGCAGCTCGAGAGATCTCCCGAAACCAGTTTTCTCTCTTACTTCCCGAACTGGCTCTAGTACTCAATACATGGACTTGGGCAATTGAACCTGGTGCTGGCTAGATATTCCTGACAATGATTTCCTTGCCGGTAATTTTTGAATTTAATCTGAAAAAAATAAATTATTTGGCGCTTAAGCATTTTCCAAATTCTCAGCTAAGATTCTCCTCCAATTTGTCGTATGCATCCTGATGTTATAACCCCAAGAAAGCGACCTGCAATTTTACGTAGCATCCGAACGGCAAATT